GTTACAATAATTAACAGTGCCCAGAAAAGTGAAGTAGTAACCAGAAAGACTTTCCAGCGCTGAAGAATTGCTTTGCTGCCTTGAGCTTTGGATTCATTCCATGCTTTTTATGTAATATTTCACTAAGGTGCTTTTTGTTGCTGGTGGGATATTTTTTTTTTTCCTTTCCCTTTCCCTTTTTTTTTTTTTTTTTTGAGATCATCATTAAATCCTGATCTATAAAAATCAAGCCACACTTGGATCACCAAGTGCAAGATACCTTCCAGCATGTTTGCACATAGAGCCAGCAGCAGTTATACCAGCCTTCACTGATCTCAAGCTGAAGACAGGAGTAATTGTAAAGCAGATATTACCACTTCTCTTTTTATCGGGGCCTGACTATGTGGGAATCCACAGATACCTAACCAGGTTCTTGCTATGGGTTTCCCTGTCTTGTCCTAAGCTTTTGAAAAATATATATCCAGAAGACTTTAAAGAAAACAAAAAGTAGATTAAAAAAAATGTAAAACACTTACCGATCATACTTCCAGGATTTAGAGATATTTTTTTTTAATTTTTGATTTTAATAAGGTGACAGGGGAAAAAAAGCATGTTCTCAACTCCAGCGAAAAGATCCATGTTAAGATTTTCCTTTGCACTGACTCCGCTAAGCCCCGCTCTCCACTAGTCTATTATTTTCACCAAAATATATGAAAATTTATGCAAATGAAAATCAGCACTAACTGTTCTCCCCTTGTTATACTTTGGATTTTTTTCCAGACAAAACAATCACACTCTGCAAGGGAGGGGGTGGGAAGAGTTGGGGAACTAAGTTGTTGTGGTTGTGGTGTGTGTGTGTTGGTTGGGTATGTTGGGTTTGTTTTTTGTTTTTTTTTGTTTTTTTTTTTGAATAAAAGACATTACTCTAGCTCGAGCTTTATTTTTTGTTGTCGCTGTTATGAGGGTGTACATATTTTTTTTTATTGTTATTATTTGGGGGGGGGGGGGGTTTTTCCCCCCTCCCCCCTTCTTTTTTTTTTTATAAAATAAAATTCTTTGTG